GGACGATCCACGCTAACTGGAAGGTCGGGGCCACCGGGCGCCCCCGTGCCGGAGACCAGCGCCCTGCAGCCAGAACTGGAACGGAACCGCGCACCTCCTCCCCCGACCCCCACCTCCTCCCCCATCCCGGACCTCCCCACCTCCCCCCTCATCCCGGACCTCCCCCCCTACCTCCTCCCCCGACCCCCACCTCCTCCCCCATCCCGGACCTCCCCGCGCCGGCCATGCGTTCAGGGTTGCGTTCTGATTTGCAAAGTGGTTGTCCGCGGAGCATCGGCACCCGCACCGCTCCTCCCCGCAGCCTCCCCCCCCCCAGCTGTCCATGTTTACAGGAGCCCCGTCCCCGTCCCCCCCCCCCTCGCCCGGGAAGCGTCCCGCCCTGCGACAGCAGCGTGGCCATCTCACATCTGCCGGGTGCTGCCCAGGCGGGGTCAGAGGTCACGGCGGCCGCGTGTGCCGAGCTCTCTGCCAACTGCCAGGCAAAGCTTTAAGCGCAGAGCCCGAACCCGCCCCCGGCGTCACCTCTGCGCACGCGCCGCGCGCCCCAGTCGCGGAGCCGGACGGAGGGGCGGGGGGGGGGGCGGCGGTCAGAGGGCGAGGCGGCCAGGCTCCGCAGCGCTCGGCCTCGAGCCACCTGTAGTCCTGCAAACCAAAGGCGTTGCCAAGTATTTGCCAAAAGGAGGCGCTGTGCACCGCAGCCGCCACGAGGCCCGTCCCGAGGCGGCGTCCGCGGGAGGTGGGCGGGGCGGCCCCGCGGGGGGCGAAGGCGGCGCCACCGTCACTGTCACTTAACGTCTTACATCTCACGTCACGGGGAGGAGCAGGCGTCCGTCCGCGAGCCCCGTCCCTTGAATAAACCAGTCGATGGCAATCCGGGTCCATTCATGCGTCGCCTTGTGTCGGTTGTGTCGTCGTCGTCGCTTCGTGCCGGGCCTGGGCTTGAACTCGGGGCCTGGCGCCGTCTGAGCTTTTTTTGTTTTTGCTCAAGGCTGATGCTCTACCCCTTGAGCCACAGCGCCACTTCGGCTTTTTTTGGTGGTTAATGGAGATGAGTGTCACGGACTTCCCTGCTTGGGCTGGCTTCAAACTGTGATCCTCAGCTCTCAGCCTCCTGAGTCGCCAGGGTCTGCAGACCTGAGCCACGGCGCCCGGCTTGCCTTGTGTCGTTTTCTTAAGAAGAAAAAAACCATGATGCCTTTGTGCGTGCTGTTTGCGCCCTGAGATCAGTCCCCTATCATGTTTGATGCCATACATTTTGCACATGTACTGTACATAGGTTCTGCATACTGTATTTTTATATGTGTGCACATTTATCATCAGATCTTTTGTACATAGCGGTATCGTAGCTGGTCGGGAAATGTTTGATATCTCAGCGATTTTGCATTTTTGTGTCTCAAATAAAAGAAACCATTTTAACAAACTGATTTTTTGCAATGCAGAGAAAAGACTGGGTCCAAGGCCCACATCCACCCCTGTGCCACACACACGCACGTGAACACACGCGCCATGAATGCACCACCAGCACTATCTGAGCAGGCCTTCCAATTGTACCATTCACATAATGAGCAAAGCACCCTTCGAATTCAGTGTGTTCCTCAGGAAGAACATGGTGAGTTTAGTCTGTGGGCACCGCCGGCGTCTGGGGAGACCCTGACAGCCCCATCTGCCTGCCGGACCACCAAGGACTGGAAGCCTCCAGCACCAGCAAAGCACAGATTCCGCCCAGACAGCTGAAATCCTAGAACCCAGACCAAGGGTCTCAGTCTGTCCAGGCTGCCCTATGAATGTCCCTGAGCCAGGGCCACTTATGAACAGAACGTACTTCTCAGCTGAAGGACCCAAAGCCCATGTCCAGTGAGGCCCAGCCTCTGCTTCCAGGATGGCGCCATGTTCCCGTGTCCTCACCTGGAGACGCGGCTAATGCCCGGCCCCCCTCGAGCCCCTTCCCAGGGCTCTGTCCCATCTGCACACACACACACACCCCAGCCCAACCCTCTCCCCAAGGCCCACCTCCCAATCTCTACATGCAGGATCAAGTGCCACCATGAATTGGAGGGTAGCAAACTGGGGTAACCTGTCGACTCAGCCTTTGTTCACAGGCTCTGCAGTACAGCCGGTGATAGCTTAGCTGATGCTCACCCATGATGAAGTTTGAAGGTCTTGATTAGGCCTCTTCAATGGCCCCTGCTGTACCAAGTGGCTGCACACGGTGGTAAAAGCCACACAGTGGGCGCCTTTATGGTCACCTGAGCCAGACCCAAAGCTAACCAGAGGATGAGACACCTTCTATGAGCCTAACTGGCCCAAATCACCTGTGATGAAACACTGCCTTTGATCCAAGGACCTCTGGAGCACACAAAGTCGCATACAGAAGCTCCAGAATGACCACGGGTGTTGAGGTGCATGCTTATAATTCCAGCTCTGTGGGGGGCATAGGGAGAAGGATCAGGGTCCAAAATCAATTGGGGCAAAATCACAACGCTCCTGTCATCAAGGTTCTCAAGAAGCTGAGATCTGGAGGACCAACCAGAGCAGAAACATCCTCAAAACTCCATCTCCAAACTAGCCACCAAAAGCTGGGCGCTGGTGACTCATGCCTGTAATCCTAGCTACTCGGGAAGCTGAGATCTGAGGATCGAGATTCAAAGCCAGCCCAAGCAGAAAAGTCCCAGTGAGACTCACTTCCAAAACCACTCAAAAACTGGAAGTAGCACTGTGGCTCAAGTGGTAGAGCGCTAGCCTTGAGCACAAAGAGGCTTAGGGACAGCACTCAGGCCCTGAGTTCAAGCCCCAGGACTGACAAAAAATGCTTGGCTGGAAGTATGGCCCAAGTGGAAGAGTACCAGCCAGGCAAGCAAGCCAAAATTATGATGCCCTGAGTTCAGATCCCAGTATCAGCATAAAATAACAGCACAAAAAGTTGGGGTTATGGCTCAAGAGGTACAGTACTGACCTGACAAGCATGAAGCCTCAGTTCCACCCCCTAAAGGGACATAAAAGACTGAGAGAACAATTCAAAAATAGCCAAGCTGCTCTGGTGGCTCATGCCTATAGTCCTAGCTACTCAGCATGCTGAGACCTGAGGATCGTGAGTTCAAAGTCAGCTCCATGATACTCTTATCTCCAATAAACCACTCAAAAACGGGAAGTGGTGCTGTGGCCTAAGTGATAGAGTGCTAGCCTTGAGCACAAAGAGGCTTGGGGACAGTGCCCAGGCCCTGAGTTCAAGCCTCACTACTGACGGGAAAACAAAAAAAAAAATCCAGCAAAGTTAAAGATGCACACACTCCATCTCCCCACAGTTCTGTCCTGCATCCTGGAGAACACAGGTGCGCACAGGAAATGGCACTCAAGAAAGAACACTAAAGCATTGTGAGCAAAGCCGCCCTGTAGACGGGGCCTCTGCCTTGCCATGGCGAACAATTAAACAGCAGTTAGCGAGACCCCAAACTCCATTTCAGTTGCGTATCGCAGTGATGAATGCACCAATGAAAGCACATACAGCATCAGCAAGAAGAGAAAACGCTTAGAATTAGTGCTAATAAATCTAATGAAAGATGCATATGCCTTGCACTCTGAGGAGTTCAGAATGTTCCTGAACAAAGGCGCAAATGGAAACACATCCCAAGTCCATGGGCAGAAGATACTATTTGTAAAAAAACATTTTGGACAATACTGAGGTTTGAGTTCAGGTGTCACGCTGTCGGCAGGCCGCCACCACCGGAGCCTCGCCCTCAGCCCTTTTCGCTGGGGTTATTTGGAGCCGGGGTCTTGCTTTTTGCTCAGACCAGCCTAGACCATGATCCCCTCCTTGGGCTTCCCTCTGTAACTGGGTTGGCAGGTGTGGATGTCATGCCCAGATTCTTCTGTTAAGATGAGGTATTGCTGAAGATGGTCACCTTGTTAATGTTTCTGCAGTACTGGGATTTGAACTTGGGGCCTCTCACTTTCCAGGCTGATACTCTACCACTAAGCCATACCTCCAAGCCCAAAGATGTACTATTTTTTTTTTTTTGCCAGTCCTGGGGCTTGAACTCAGGGCCTGGGCACTGTCCTTGAGCTTCTTTAGATGAAGGCTACCACTTGAGCCACAGCACCACTTCTGGCTTTTTCTGTTTATGTGGTACTGAGGAATCGTACCCAGGGCTTCATGTACACTAGGCAAACACTCTACCGCTAAGCCACATTCCCAGTCCAAGATGTACTATTTTTTTTCAGTTGTGGGGCTTGAACTCTGGGCCTGGGCATTGTCCCTCA